AATAAGGAAGCTGCTTGAAAAGCACTGGGTTGCTTGAAAGAAAAGCACTAAGAAAAGCACTGGGTTGCTTGGGCCTTGTGTGGAGGATGCTTAGGGCCTGGAGCAGAGGAACTCCCTGATCCTGATGGGGGGGACTGCAGGCTCCTGGCCCATCTCCCTTTAGAAAGGGCCACAATCTTATTGCAGAGAATCAGCCGCAATAAGGAGAGGGGGAAATCCCAGCTATACCCCAGGGCTTCTGTGAGGACTTGAGGGGACCAAGCACAGCTGCTTTGTGCTTTTAGCTTTGGACAGAGGGCATGAAAAGAGGGAGCAATCCTGACACAGGGCAGAGAGGAGCATGTGGTAACAGTGAGGCGTGGTTCCTTCAGGATGCTTGTCGGTATGGCTTCTCTGCATGCCATGAGGGGTCAACGAGGGACCCACCAGCAGACCCAGAGGCAATGCAGATTGGGGAGAGAAAGAGACATGTGGGACACCCCAAAAACTATCTCTATCTGAGGAGAGGAAAGGCACTGGCAGGACCACGGTTCCAGGGATCCGACTCATGGGGCCAACATAGAATTACTTCTCTGTTGGGCTTGTATGATGCCTTGTGTGTCAACCTATCATATTTCTGAGTCTATAAGATAACATTTAACTTATAATAGAGCTCCAGCAGTCCCAAAATCAGAGAGAGAGAAGAATCATTGAAAAATGAACTTGGTTACCAAGGGAACAGTCTCTAGACTAGACTAAAGATAGTCACTGAGGTGACCTTCACAGTGTTCTGGCCAACGAAGGCTGGTCACAGTCAGTGAGCAGAGAAGCAGCATTTCATGCAGAACTTTGGACAAGTAGATAGATGGTTTCAGGGCCAAAGTAGCACATGCACACCATCCTTGCCTTACCTTCAGAGCAGCTGCAGGAAGCCTAGATCTGGCACAGTGGGTGCCCAAGCTGCTTTCTGTTGTCCTAGCTGTGGGGCGAGAGAATCACAGATTCCCTCCTCGAACAAGGAGCACCAAAGTTAGACTGAGCAGCACAGCTCACAGAAGCAGTTCAACAGGAAGAGATATTTAATGTATATCTAGACAGACACTTTAAATCCTTTTATTTTAAAAACAATTTCAGACTTACAGAAAAGTTGCAAACATAGGACAGAAAATATTTGTATACTCCTTACCTTTCATCCAGATTCACTTTGCCACATTTGTTTTATTATTTCCTGCTCGAACTGTTTCATCTGGTGGTTTGTCGTCCACCTGTCCACCCACTGCTATCTATCTACCTATCTATCTATCTATCTATCTATCTATCTATCTATCTATCTATCCATACATATAAAATCTCAGAGATAATTTCCCCCAATCCATCTTCCAATGAGTACTTCATAAAATCAAGAACATTTTTATATAGCTAAAGGTACGACAATCAAAATCAGGAAGGTAACATTGATACAGGATTATTAGCTAATCACCAAATTTTGCTTACATTCCACCAGATATCCCCTGCTATCCTTTACAACCAAAGAAAAAATAATTTTCCCTCAGTCCCAGGTTAGTTGTTATGTCCTTCTAGTCCCCTTTATTCTGGGGATTAGATCTTTCTTTATAGTTCCTCAATCTTTCTTTATATTTTGACTTTGAAATTTTTGAAACATGTAGACCTTTTATTTTGAAGAATGTCCCTCAATTTGGATTTAATTGAGGTTCCCTCAAGATTATAGATTTAAGTTCTGTATTTCAGTCAGGAATACCATAGAAATGATGTATTCTTCTGGGTGAATCATTCTGAGGCACGTGATATCCATTTTTTCAGTAACTAGTGATGTGAACATTGATCACTTAATTAGGATGGTGTCTGCCCGGTTCCCTGGCATTGAAATTACTATTTTTTCTTTGTAGTTAATAAATGCCTTCTGGGGAATTACTCTGATGCTGTGTATGTATCCTGTTTCTCACCACCCACTAGTTTTAATATCCATTGGTGTTTCTTGCCTGAAATAGTTATGTGGTTGTCAAATAATTTTCCAAATTTATAATTATTCTTACAATTTTAGTTGGCGTTCTGCCATAAAGAAGAACTTTCTTTTTTCCTTGTTTATCCATTTGTTCATCCATGCATTCATTTGTATGAATTCATAGATTTTTATTTTATTGTATGATTTGTCATCTATATATATATAAAAGCCTAAGTGACTGTTTGACCAGTAGCATTGATCACCAGGGGGCAGGCACTCAACGCATAGGCATGAAAACATGGGACACACTGGTGAATCTTAGAGGGAAGGGAGAAGGGAAAGGACAGGAAGAGATTAACCAAAGATCTTATATGCATACTAAAGGCCCGGTGCACAGATTTGTGAATCGGGGGGGTCCCTTAGCCTGGCCTGTGGGAATTGGGCTAAATCCATGCATCAGGCTTCTGACATCACCCAAGGGGTACCAGATTGCGAGAGGGTGCAAGCCAGGCCAAAGTACCCTAACGGTGCACAAATCCTTGCACCAGGCCTCTAGTATATTGAATAAAAATCATTTATTTTAAGTCTTCCAATTAGCAAAGATCTGGCCCATCGGAACCCCTTGAGCCTCACTGCTGTGAATTGTGACATGTCTCCATCAAAACATCCCAGCCCTCCCAAGCCAAAAATCAGCAATATCTCCAAGGAGCCCTAGTTCCTCTTATTGGAAAATATTTCAGAATTGAGATCTGGAGGCTGAATGCTGAATGTGATTAGAGTGAGTGTGTATTCACTTAAACTAGAGGAATATATAATAGTTAGGTTCACTTGTGTTTGCATTCCCTTTGTGTTTCCCTCTTTCCCTGCTGGCTTTATGTATTTCTGTTTGAGCATACAAAATATAACATGGTTTTAAAATCCTAGACTACAGGAAAAATGTATATTTTGGAAATATCACTCCTCACATAGCCATTCTACCTTATCCCCCTCCCCAGCTCTTTCCACACTATTTCTAATTACTACCCATCACTGAGCAATGCCATTTCTGGTTTATCTTTATGTTTCATTTTGCATTAATAAACTGGTGTATGTATATTTTTTTCCTTATTTCTTACCTAAAAGATACATACTATAGATGTCATTTTACTTTTTCATTCTGGAAATTGCCCCCTATTAGTACAAAGAAATGTGCCTACTTCTTTTTGTAGCTGCATAGTACTCCACTGTGGTGATGTATTCAACCACTCTCTGATGTTTGAACATATACTTTGCTTCTAACACTTATCAATACTGCAAATAATTAATTTGTACATAAGTATTTCTTCTTTTTGGAGGTGTAAATTCCTTGAAGTAAAATTAATATGGCACAAATTAAAAATATAATCTTTTTAGCTATTGCCAAATATCTCTCCAAAAGGATTGAACAAGCTTGCACCCCTACATCACAATGTGAGGCTCCCTGTTTCTCATAATCTTGCCAACAGAATGTGCTGTCATGCTTTCTAATTTTCACTAATTTAAGTGAAAAATTATCTCAGTGCAGTTTTAATTTGCATTTCTCTAACTATGAATGAGATTAAACATCTTTTCATATGTTTAAGATACTGTGCCTTTTGTCTATTTTTCTATTGGATATGTGATTTTTTAAAAACTGCTAGGAATTGCATTTTTCCTTCAATTTGTTAGGGAGAAGCTAGGAGTTATACATTTGCATAACATTTAACCTGATCTGTAATTTTTCATGGTAAAATCTTATCTGTGGCAATGTTTTCAGTTTTGATATAGTGTTCACTGTTGAAAATGTTGTCAAGCTGTACAATTATGACTTGTACACTTTTAAAAGCTTATTTTTTTTAAATTCTGATTTCATTCTATACTCAATTAACAGTGTCTTGCTTGCCAATTGTCTACGGGAAGTTCATGATTCCCCATAGCTCTGACATGAGACAAGGGGGCAAAGTGACCCCTGGAGAAGGGGCTCTGTAAGTTTATATTTGAAAGCTGAGCCCACAACACACACACACACACACACACACACACACACACACACACACACACACACACAGTCATTCTACCTCCCCTCCCCACATGGAGCTGGCTCTCATCCTCTAACCTGTCTTCTCACCTCACCAGCTGGGGGAAAGGGCTCACCCAGTGATGTCAGTGGGAGTCCTGGTTTCAAGTTTGTCCTACAGCCAGTCCTTCCTTTGTGTCCCAGTAAGTGATGCCTCTCTGTTTCAAGCCTCGTTTTCTCTAATTTTCAGGATTGTGGAAGGAAAAGGGTAATCAAGTCTATTAAATAGTGTGAGCTACTTGGAGAAAGATCCAGATACTTGGGATGTCTCCACCATTCTCTCTGACTGTGCAGAGCTGAAGAGCTGCGCTCAACCTCTGGAACCTAGTTTGTGCTGGGGAGACTGGGTAATCAAAACTGCTGTGAGTGGATAAACGGAGGAATTTTTAAGATTCCTTATCTATTTTGTTTTATCTTTCAGGACAGCCCAGAAAAGAGAGTAGGAGCAGCGACATGGCTTCAGAATCTGGGTGGCCCCTGAGTAGGTGTCCTGCTGCCCCTGGTGATGACTGGGTCTCTGCAGTGCGACAGCCCCAAAGCAGCGGAGTCTCCGAGCCGATGAGGAGAAGGTGAGGGGCAGATAACAGCCTTAGTTGTTAGGAATGAAGACCAACCAACGCTGGCAGAAGTCAAAGATAATCTTCCACCCTCCTGCCTCTCTCCTTGACACACTAGCCAGATGAAGGAGTTTCCAAGAATGGTGTTTGATATATACAGTATCATTCCAAGGGAAGCTGGGGGAGGCTTTCTTGTGTCCTTACTCTGCCTCCAGGACACATGCACAGCCCTCCCCTTCCCCATCCTGTGTGGCACAGGCAGAAGTTACATTTGCTTAACACACACACACACACACACACACACACACACACACACACTCATTTTCTTTCTCTCACCCTCTGGCACTCTGAACAGCATTGGGAGTAGAAGCCATTCAGCGGCAAGAATTGGTGTCTCAAATCTAGGCTCTCTCAGGATCGCTGGATGCTAGTTGGATCCCCAGTCTCCGAGGGTGTGCTGGATTGTCCACACTTGTGTGGTGCAGGTCTGCAGCACAGGCTTATAGTAGATGGAAACCTTCTTTATTTCCAGACATCGTTTTGTGGCCCTGTTTATGATGGCTCTCCCCTGGATGGGAAGAAAGACAATCAAGGTATTGAAATGCCCTAGGCGTGCCTCACTGCCCTGCGCCTACACTCTCTGCTCTGCTCACAGGAAAGCTGGGAGGAGGGGGGGGGGGGTGCGCAGTTCTCTGAAAGCCACCCAGAGGACAAAGGAAGCAAAGTGCATCTTTGGGTCACCCAGAGCCTTCTCTCCCAGCCCCGCGGTAACCTAATCATAGACCTGGGGTAAGCACTGCAGTGCTGGGTTCCTAGTTAGCGGCTGCCTCTCCTGAGATTGAGCATCAGGTCAGAGTGACTGACAAGACATGGTGCCCCTTGGAGAGCCATGACCAACCTTCCTTTTCAAGCCTGCAGCTCTGAGCTTGTAACACCCATTAGGATTCTCCCTCCTTCAGCGAGGCTGTGTGGTAGGACTGGAGTTGGAGCTACATTCAGGGATCTCAGCCTATTTTCTCCATCCCTCTTGGGGGCAGTTCCTACTTCTCCCCTGTAGGGGCTCCATGAGGGTTTGCTACTGGGAGTGTTGGGGGCTTTACAGCTAAAACATCTGTGTTAAATCCCTGCTCAAACATGTACAGAAAGGCCTTTGGCAAATTACCTAACCTGCCTTAGTCTCAATTTCCTCATCTAATATTAGGGTTAAAGTTAGGTTTAATGTTTTTTGAGCATCTTGAGGCAGAGACCACATACTTTCTTTCTTTTCTTTTTTTAAATATATTTTATTTTTCACAGAGAGGAAGGGAGAGGGATAGAGAGCTAGAAATGTCAATGAGAGAGAAACATCGACCAGCTGCCTCCTGCACACCCCCTATGGGGGATGTGCCCGCAACCAATGTACATGCCCTTGATCGGAATCGAACCTGGGACCTTTCAGTCTGCAGACCAACGCTCTATCCACTGAGCCAAACCCGTTTTGGTGAGACCACAATCTTAAGGCCACATCCCTGCTCCCGCCCTAGCCATCAGTTCCATACCTCTCTTCTGTTGCAATCACAAACTGCCCCCAACACCCCTGTTCCCAAATGTCACCTGCCCCTGGCCACACTGGACTCCCTCTCCCCACAACCTCCCACAGTGCATCCATCCAGCATCACCATTCAAGGTGGCTCTTCAGGTCTTGAACTCTTCCCAACACTCCCACTGCTCCTTTCTCTTGGCCCCCACTTTCAGACAAGACAGGGCCACCATTGGAGTGGACCTAGCCCTCAAATGTGCCTACAGCAGTCTGGCCTCAGCACTTGGCTTATTCCTTAGGGTTACTCCTCCAGGTCTCTTTAGCACGCGGTATCCCTTTCACTCAATGCCTTTAGCTTTCACTTGGTTAGAAGACCCCACTTCCAGTCAGTCCAGCCGCTCACCCGGATGACATGGGTGGTCTCAGAGGAGCTGCCCTGCTTCTGTCTTTACTGCCAGCAGTCCCTGTGCTCAGAGCCCAGCTGTACTTGACATATATAGAGAAAAACACCCTTCCTGTCTAACATCCTTCCCTTATTTCTCTCTCTTAGCAGCTTCCTTTCTTACTGACTTTAAATAATATATCCAAATGTCCCACTTAAAAGAGGAGGAAAAACACGCTTAACTCTACCTTCCTTTTCAAATCAACATTCAGCATTTTTCTTCCTTGCAGAAACAAACTTCCTATGCAATGAGGCAATAACAAATAGTGAATAAGATTCTGTCTTCGAACCCACAGCTTTTACTATGCTGTGTGACCTTAGGAATACTATGTGACTACTCTGTGCTTTAGTTACATCATAGCTAAAGTAGAGCTAACGGTAATATTTCTCTTATAAATTTTATATAAAGACTAAAATAGATCATGTTTAACCCAGTGCCTGGTACATAATACGTACTCAATAAATCTTGGTTATTATAATTTATTGTGATCTTTCTGAGAGAGTCAGTGATACTCTTTTTTCTATTTTTGAGTCATTTACAATTGAGATGAGCTCTGACAGTATCCCTTTCATCCTCTCCAGACTCTGGTTTCTTTTGCATTGTAAGATAGCGTAAGCCATTAGGCTGTTAGAAATTCCTTCCCTGGCCCATTATGTTAAGTCAAAGTCCTTGACCTCCAATAACTGGTCTTAGTTCTGCCCTCCTGTAGACATTGAACAAGTTCACTTCCTCTTTCTCATGAACACAGCATCATCTTTTCTCTAGATTCGCCTCTCCTTTACCTAAAGGTCTGCCAATCTTTTATTTGTTCTACAACTATTTCTTGAATGTTTGCAATCTTCCAGCTACTCTGTTAGGTGCTAGAGAAAATAACACACAAAACCCAGGCCCTGCCCTCCAGCCTACAGTCTACTGATCAAAAGAAGCAAGTGAGGAGGCAATTAAAACAGACAATGAGACAAGTGTAGAAGAGGGGTGCTGATAGCACATAAAGAATTCAGAGGAACATTTTGCATTTGGCTAGGTAAAAAGGTGGGAGGAGAGAAAATAACACCCACAAAAGTGCCTCAAATAAGTGGAAGAATGGCCTTTAATAGAATTATATATATTTCCATACAGTTGGAGCTTAGAGCAGAAAAATAGGACTTACTCCCTTCCTTTTTTTCACTGATGTTGTCTAGTTAAGAGAGACTTAGCCTAAGATCCAAAACCCCTTTGAAATTGTAAGCAAAATTGTGCCCATAGGTGCATATATATGTTTTTTCTGGAGATAGTCCATTCCCATTCTGCAGCAGATTTCCAAAGAGATTATGAGCTTGAAGTTAGGAATTTCTGAGTTAGATTGTCCATATCCTTTTATATGAGGTTCCTGAACCTCATAAAGTACCAACATACTCAGAGGTATGTCCATAGACAAAGCATTGCCTCCCTCCATCAGGACATCACAGTCCTGCCAGTGTGGTTTAATAGACTTGGTCAACTAAGTCCCTCATGCCACTGTCATGTAAATCTGCCAGATTCCCTCCACCTTGTTCTTGCTCAATTGATGTTGAAGTTAAAGTCGGGACTTTATATGGTCCCTGTCAAATTTCAGCCCAGTGCTCCAGACTCTCTGCTTAGTATCAATATTAACAATAAAACTGATCACAATGGCTAATCTATAATAATAAAAGTATAATATGCTAATTAGACCTAACAGCTAAATGACCTTCCGAACATCGTTCTGGATGACCTTCTGGATGAAGCCACAGCTGCAGGGGCCAAGGCAGAGGTGGCTACCATGGTGGGTGGAGGCTGAGGCAGAGGAGGTTAGGGGTGATCAGGCAGGCATGCAAGCAGCTAGAGGTGATCAGAGAGGCAGGCAAGTGGTTAGGTCAATCAGGCAGTTAGGGGCAGTCAGGCAGGCAGGAGAGTGGTTAGGGATGATCAGGCAGGCAGGCAAGTGGTTAGGACTGATCAGACAGGGTTACAGGCAGGCAAATGGTTAGGGCTGATCAAGCAGGCAGGCAAGCAGATAGGGGCAATCAGGCAGGCAGGTGAATGGTTAGGGGTGATCAAGCAGGCAAGCAGTTAGGAGTCAGTGGTCCTGGATTGTGAGAGGAATGTCCAACTGCCAGTTTGGGCCTGATCCTGCAGGTATCTCTGTGAGATCGGGCCTAAAGTGGCAGTCAGACATCCCCTGAGGGGTCCTTGATTCCAAGAGGGTGCAGGCCAGGCTGAGGCACACCCTCATGCATGAATGTTATGCACCGGGCCTCTAGTATTTATTAAATACTTTCTATGTGCCAGGCACTATGCTAAAATGCTTTACACACGTTATTTCATTTATCTTCCCAACCTATAAAGTCAATACTATTTCCATTTTATAGATGAGGAGACTGAGTCTCAGAGAGGGTAACAAAATTGCTAAATGTGCTGAAACCAGTTTGGCTCAGTGGTAGAGCATCGGTCTGCGGACTGAAAGGTCCCAGGTTTGATTCCGGTCAAAGGCATGTACCTGGGTTGCAGGCACATCCCTAGTAGGGAGAGTGCAAGAGGCAGCTGGTCGTTGTTTCTCTCTCATTGACGTTTCTAACTATCTCTCTCCCTTCCTCTCTGTAAAAAATTAATAAAATATATTTTTTAAATTGCTAAATGTAACAACTATGCTTCAAACCCAAATGCTTACCTGTTAAGCTATAACAGATTCCACATTCCCCCCCCTCCCCCTCAATACCCCACCTTTGTCAACAGACTCAGTGTTTCATATCCAGTTCCCTGTTCCTGGTATTTTCCCTACACATTGTCACAAACTGAGTCTTTCTAAAACACTACGAAATCAAATATGAATCTCTCAGATTATATTTGAATATATCTATCCTTTAAAAAGTACACAACTCACCGACTTAAAATCCCAATATATGTGTAGTCCATTTTTGGCTGCCTTGGAACATGGCTCCAAAGTAGGATTCTCCCCACTGCCAGGGTCTGTCAGGCAGTTGTCCTCAGCCACTGCCTCTGAAATCAGTCCCACGTACAACTCCCCAGTTAGATGATAGTAGATTTTCTAAAAGACAGCAAAGGGATCTGCTGTAGGCACAGTCTGTGGAGAGACCCTTGACCCAGATAATGGACATAAATACTGCTATGGGTCCTGTAGACACTCAGTCACCAGGGGGAGCATTGAATTTTCCTGAGTAACATGCAGTACTCTGTGTTTCTTTCCCCCACCATCCCCAGTTGATTTTAGGGAGAAGACCAAGCTGAGGTGGGAGCACTAGCTTGCCTCTTTCCATGCAGGGAGTCCAACAGAATCATGGCTTGCATGGATGAGAGAGCTTATCTTTGGGGCTGGGAGGAAACGCAACTGAACTTCCTAAGGTGTCATCAGAAGCCTCCGCTGTGAGCTTGTTGTCAGAAAACCTTTCAAATTCTCAATCTGACTCTCCCTTGCTCAGTGAATTCGAGCAAGTAAGTTGTTTTGTGTCACAACACTTTTTTTTTTTTTTTCATTTGTCAAGTGGAAATGCTATCTAGCCTGCATCCCTCAAGAGGTTCCTGTGAGGACAATATGCAAAGTAACATGATAGATGTGAATAGTCTCAGGGAAAAAGAAGTCCCCTGCTATACCTCCCACTTGGTGCCAGATCACTCTATCCCCTGGAGGGACTCCCATTCCACCAGTGACTCTCTAGCCCTTGTTTACTTCTCTATGGAAGAAGCCAAGGTAGTGCCAGCTCTCCACCTTCCGACACAAGGAGCAATGGGGGATGGGGGTGGATGGAGGGAGGCAGTGGGAAGAAGGGAAAAAGGAATTGAAGGTTTTGTCAATGAAAATATTAGCATGGAGAATGAATGCAACAGCTCAGAGCCTTTCCACCTGCCTTACTCATATCTGAAATAGAACTGTCCCGCCATAACTTTTTAGTGAACTTTGAAGTGCTTAGTTAAAAGTTCAGGTTGGGGTTTCACCATGACACATTACCCAGGATTCTGAGCTCCTGCCTCCCTGACATCTCACACTGAGTCAAAATCTGGCAACGGTTGCTAGGGCTGAGCCTCAACAGACTCATCCTGTCAGGGCAAAGAAGATTGTGGAAGATACCTGTGGACTGTATTCATTACAGAAATACATGATGGGAGTCTTGCCTGTAATAGGGCCTCGATCCAGGCAGTCATTTTCATTTAGTGAGTTTTTTATCTGAAGGAGCAAAACACATGACAACATGATTGGAAAGAGTTTGAGAAAGAGAACACCAAGCCTCCCAGACCCTACATTTTCTCCAGTACTCCAAGGTGCGAGGAATTACCAACCAAAGGTCCAGCAGTTTGCTATCTTGACAGCAATTTTCGAAGCAAATTTCTAAGACAAATGCTGAAATGAAGCATTGCTGTGATCCCCACTTCATGGGAATACCTGCCCATCAGGACCAGCATTTATATAAAGAAGTGACACCATCTCAGCCTCCTTCAGGTGGGTGAGACCAAACACCCTGATTGGCTGAGAAACGGGAGAGGCAGAGCAAGGGCTTCCAAGTAAAGGAAGTGGAGGCAGAGAGAACGAAAAGAGAGGAGAACTGAGAAGTAAGAGATAACAGGAACTGAGAGAGCCCAAGGGCAAATCACTGAGGAAGGAGTTGGGGGATAGGAAGATAATCTTGGATGGGATAGTTTGGGAAACCCTTTTCTGGGTAGTCATGTGATTCAGGTTTCATTGTCTGTTACAGTCAAATATTTAAAATCTGAAATGCAATTTCATTATACGTACTCTTCCGTAGCCTACAATGTTGTGGATTGGCTTCAGGGCTGGATAAACATTTTTCAGATACCAATCAAATGTTTTACATTTCAGGTTTTCCCGGAGTGCCATTCTGGAAGAAATGTTTCCATAATCTATTCCAGAGTTCTGTAAGTAAAACATGGAGTGTTTCTGTGTAAATAAAATATGAAGTGTTTCTGTGTAATGTTCTTTGCTCCTTCAAAGGGTATGGATGATGCCTGAGGGAAGGGGGTATTTTTTTGATGGCCCATAAGCAACCTTGATAATGTATAGTTTTCTGGGGAAAGTGAAGAAAGCTTGAACCTTAGGAATCACTTTTGGTTTCAAAGACACTTGCAAGGCCTGTGTAGTGGGGTCACTCAGGTTTCTTTCTCATCATTAGCAAGCTAATGCAGACTACTCCTGTTAGAGATCATATTTATAACAGTAAAACAGAAAATACTACTTATGATGGCCAGAAAAAGGCTTTCAAAAGGAATATTCTGGCAGCAAGATTCTGATGGTTAAATGGCATTTTCTAAAAGTGATTGTCTGTGGGGAATTAAATTGAAAGAATGTTTGAGCCCAGAGGCACAGTTCAGAAGCAGAAGATAGCAAATCACCCTGACCTCTGGTCGCAGGGACAATGTGCGGCCTTAGCCAAGAAGGTCACCCACGTTCTTGTGCATCAACAGGATTATAAACCTCTATTCCCACAATCTCACATCCTGCCTACCATGTTTATCCTAAGATAGTGAGTTCCTGATGTCCAACCTAGTACCATAAAGATTCCACTAGTAATGATGATGGATAAAGAACAAATAATGTAGAGGATAACTTGGTTTGAATCTTATCTAGGCCACTTACTACATTACCTTATCACCTTAAACAAGTTTCTTTCAATTCTCATGCTTCAGTTTTGTTTTTTTTATCTGTAAACTTAGAATAATAAAAATAAAGCTACCCAAGGAAGAGTCTGCACTTGCTTCCTCCCATGACCACATCAAAACTACAACTAAATTGTAGAACAATCACCCTTGAGAACCACCTGAAGACTAGCTCACCAGAACTCCTTTAACTAAGGATATACAGAAGAAGAATATATAGAAGGAAGAAGGGGCACAGATGCAAAATGGGCTGGCCCCACACCCACATGTGGTGGGTAAGACCTTCTCAGCTGTGAAGGTCCTCAATGAGGAGTGAGGGGTCCTGGCTCACACCTCACTCTCCAGCCTGAAGAACCAGTGCTAGGAATAGGAGTCCCCACAATATCTGCCTGTGAAAATCAGGTGAGGAAGAAGGCTGCTGTAGACCAGATATTCTTTTAAAGAACCCGAGCAAAGACTCACTCGCTCACACTTGCCCTAAACTCCAGCAAAGGAACAGCAGCTTGGAAAACACCAGGGACATGTGGGGAGAAACTAAATTAGCTGGCTTCAGGGAGAGGAAAGGAGGGGCAACTCTCTCATGGACAGAAGTACTGACAAGTGCCAATTATTCCTTTATTGAGCCTGCTCCCTACACAGCAGGCAGACACATGTATGCACTAGATCTGAATCTCTATCAGCCTGGCTAACCCCAATTGCCCCTCCCTGGTGATTCCCTGAGACCTTACCTCACTGAACTCTCTTTCAGCATGAATCTCTTTCCAAGACTGTTTCTCACAGGCAACCAACCTTGGCCTGAGATGTGGACTTTCCTAAAATCTCTCAAAGATTTACAAACCCCAAACAAGCAGTGGGTAGCTTCTGTATGTCCTGCACCTCTTGCTAATCAGCCCAAGCTTGGCATGAGTGGCAGTCACACTCAGTCCGTAGCATAACCGGTCCCAGATGCCTCCAACCCACCAGAGGGAGCTACCAACCACCGATCATTTTGTAGTTCCTATCAGGTGGCCCCAGGCCAGGCAGGCAGCAGCTCACTTTGGCTAACACTGGAGCTCTTCTCAAGAGGCCCCAGAAATAACACACCCAGTGGCCAGCTTCAAACCACACCAGAGCACCACCCAATTAGTTCCACCAATGACACACTGAAAGGGAAAATTCAGCAGTACCAGAGTCCCAAATGTATCTCATTCTATGGGGTCATTCACACACCAATAGGTTGTCTGTTATAGTCATGGTCAGCCTTCAGACCCAGTCAGCTTGGTGTCAATCTCACCCACTGATATGCCAACAGAAATCAGGGCTCAGCTACAGCAGTAGGGCACACACAACCCACTTAAAGGACAGCCCTGGCACACCCATCTCAGGTGACCAGCAAGACTGTGCCACTGAACCCATTAAGACACCTACTATATAAGGTGACCCTCTCAAGATTGGGAGACATAGCAGATCTACCTAATACATAGAAAAAAGCACAGGAGATAGTCAAAAAGATGAAGGGGGGAAATATCCCAAATTAAACAAGACAAAACTCTAGAAAAAGAACTAAACAAAATGGAGGCAAGCAATAGAACTACCAAAAACCCAGCAATTTCACTTTTGAGTTTTTATTTGAAGAAATCTAAGACACTATTTTGAAAAAAATACATGGGCCCCTATGATCATTGCAGCATTATTTGCAATGAAGTCTGAAAGCAACCTAAGTGTCCATTAATAGACAAACGGGTAAAGAAGATGTGGTACATATTCAATTGAATATTACTTAGCCATAAACAAGAATGAAATCTTGACATTTGTGACAACATGAATGTACACAGAGGGTATTTGGGCTAAGATAAGTATGACAGAGAAAGGCAAGTATTACATTATTTCACTTCAATGTGGAAAAGAAAAAACAAAATAAATAAACAAGTAAAACAGAAATAAACAGAGATACAGAGAACAAACTGATGGTTGCCAGGTGTGAGGGGGTTTGGGAGCTATGTGAAAAGAGGCAAGTAATTAAGAACTAAAAAATGAGCAGTTACAAATAATCACAGGAATGTAAAGTGCAGCACAGGGAATATTGTAATAATTATGTACTGTGCCAGGTGGGTGTTAGACTTATCACGGGGAACACTTGGTAAGTTATCTAAGTACCCTAGCACTATGATATATATCTGAAACTAATATAACATTGAATGTAAACTGTAATATAAAATTTTTTTAATAAATAAAATTAAAAATAAAACTTACCCTCTAAGTAGGTTGTGATAATTAATGAGTCTGGAACATAATATTACTTCTTAAGTGTTGTGTCATTATCATCACACCATCTGGACTTTACCCTTATTCTCTAGAGCTGGGATGATACTTTTGCTGTATCCCTTCCCATTTCCCACCAATACCACAACCTCTTCCTCCTGGTCCTATTCAATGCCATGACAAACCTGGAGTGGTATATTCCAAGCCAGGTAGACCATGTATTTGTACTCATCCATCCAGATTTCGGCCACTCTGAGAGCATTGCGCCTCATGGCAGAAATCAGATCCAAGGCATAGGGCTTGTGATGTCTCTCTAGGTGAGCAATCCGGGAGCAGGGCAAGACCTCAATTCTCCCTCCACACAGCCACACCTACAAGAGAAGGGGGAAAAATCATCTGGACAATCTTGGCCTCATGGCCAATAAGTAGCATTGCTTATGGATGCACAGAGACCAACATTTTGAAGCCATTTTTAAAATAATGTAAATTCGGTCCTCCCACTCGCATCTTTATGTTACATCCAAAACCATTTATCTAAAACAATCTTCCTTAGAAGTTCACCAACCTTCTTCTCTCCTTGGTTTCAGACAGTTCCAGAAATCCTATCCACTTTAGGAAGTCTTTCTGAACAAACCAAAGGAAGGTCTGTTGTAGGAAGTCACCACTTGCCAATACTTTCATGAGAGTGCACCAAGGAATGCAGAAGGCTGATGGATCTTGTACGTTGGCAGGGCTGAAGCTAAGCACTGATTGTTTGTGTTGAGATAGGGGTGGCTCAATAGCCTCCAAGCAAATGTTTACTGGACCTTACTGATATTTACTGATCTTTATTGACCTTAGAGACAGTTTGTCTGCTACCTGTTTGCCATGCTTTACCGAGGGCAAGATGTTTATCTAAAACTAAATAAAAGCAGACAGGACCCAGTTTCCATGTGTCTCTTCAAGAAAGAGGCTCCACCTGATCCCCAATGCCTTCTAAATTCATATTTCTTGTATAGCATTTTCATTTTTGCATCAGCCCCTCTTTCAGATCCTAAACACCACTGCAAAGGTCATGGCAATCTGTCCTTGCTCATTTATCCTCAGGAAAAGTGCCAATGTCTTGAGAAGCACCAAGCCCTGAGCTAATCACACTGGAGTTAGTGTCCTATAACCCTTCCTGGACCTGCATGCCAGATATTATGCACAGGTGGTCCACATGATCCATGCCTCCTCGTCTTCATACCCTTCCTTGCTCCTCTCCCCTTGAGTGTGGGTTTGTGATATTCTTCTAGCCAGTAGAATATGGAAAAGATATGTACACAATTACATGTGTGTGATTACATTACATAAGATTGTAGTGTCCATTCTGCTAGGAGATGCATTATTTTACTGGCTTAGAAGAAGCAAGCCACCAAGTTGTGAGCCACCATACAAAGAGTGCAAGAAACTAATAGTGGCTTCCAACCTGAATGCCTCCTCAGTCTGGAAGACTTCAAGGAGCTGAATGCTGCCAACACCAACATGAGCCTAGAAGCAGATCCTTCTTCAGTCAGTCCTACCTAAGAACCCAACCCTGGCCAACACCTTGACTGAATATAGGCATGACCGTCTGACCAGTGCTGAACAATGAAATACAATATACACAATTGCAGGTAGAACTGGTAAAAAATAAATAAATAAATAAATAAATAAATAAATAAATAAATAAAAAATAACAACAACAACAAAAAACGAAAGAGAAAGAGCATACTCTCTTTTTCCCTACTTTCTCTTCCTGCTAACTAGAATATGGATGTGATATTGAGTGAGGCAGAACCACAAGATGGGAAAGTCTTGGTCCCCATTATCCTGGAGATGCCATCTCAAACCTGAACCACTTTTGTTCAAAAAGTTATGGAAGAAAACAAATTAATTTCTATTTTATTTAAACCTCTATTATTTTGACTTCTGTCCCAAAATCCAAATAAGAATTCTAATTCATATCTTCATAAATTATTTCAAATTATTTATTACATTTTAACTGCACAATCATTCTTTTGAGATAATTAAAACAAGGACACTTTTCTTCATTTCACAAGTGGAAAAACTGATCAAGGCCACCAGGCAAAAAAGTAATAATTCTCTCTGCTAGAAAATGGTTGTGGCTTAATGGAAAACTCAGACAGGGACTAAAGTTCATTTGTTAACACAAAAATGTGAGATCTTGATTGGGTCCTAAAAGGGTGCAATATGTGGTCTTCAGTCTCAATTGGAAAGAAACTGAAGGGAGTTGGACAGAATAAGCTTTATATAGGAAATTATCTTGTTCCTTCAGAAAACACAATTGGCCAGAGGTCACCTTGACTCAGGCAAAGAATTTTGGAGCTGGCAGTTGTGGGGGAGAGCATTTTATAGAAATGGAGAATTAGCAGAGCCAGGATTAGAACCTAGGTTCAGCATTTTTTACAATGCCATCCTGACATCCTTATTATTATTTTATTATAAACTCATTAACAAGTGTAAGCCATATATCACTCACCATGCTAGGTTCTTGGTGCAGCAGGTAAGGCTTAAGGAGTTTGTATCTGGCCAGGATAGCACAAACTTTCCAGTGGAAAAGTAGGATTTGGAATTAAGATTTGCAAGAGACCTATTCCAAACTGATTGTGATGTGTTGAACTTATTGCCCCAGTTCTCTGTCACTTCATTGTAGATAGATATTCCCCACCCCTTGACTTTGGGCTTGACCATAAGATATACTTTGACAAATTTAATAGGACAGAAAAAAATAATGCACTAGTTCCAAACTGAAGCCTTCAGACCCACCCCATCAAAGCCAAGCTAGAGCAGAGAAGAGGTATCATTGCTGAGTAGCCAGTGCACAGTCAGAACGAGAAGTGGTACTCGTTTTTATTTTATTGCTATACAATCCATCACTGGCTATTTGTCCTAGACTAACCACATCTCAGCATGACCTATGCCATCATGTCAGCTGTTCTAGCTGTCCATTCAGGAGCAATTTGGCTACCCACATATCTGTATCCCTGGACCTTCTGCCCAGTTTCTCTTTGGTCTTATAGAAAGCTGTCTGCCATAGAGTTGTTTGATTCTAGGAGATGCTTAAAAAATGTCTTGATTCCTCAAGACAATGAGGAACACCATCTGCTGAGCCTCAGTTTTACCCTTTCCCTAATAAGTCTCAGATTATTTAAACCTACATAAAAAAGATGCCACTCCTGAAGTCTTCTTGCCTTCCTCTAGTGACCTACAAACATGAGGATTTTTCCACCTCTTGAACCAATGACAATTAGTCTTGTTTCAGGATTCCAGAGATACTACTACCGTGTTTCCCTGAAAATAAGACATCCTCCGAAAATAAGACCTACTTACAGGTTTCCCTTCTGAGTGAAATATAAGGCATCCCCCTGAAAATAAGCCCTCCTCCCCCCTCCGCTAAACATGAGAGATTTGGTCCACTGATTCTGAAAGAAACGGAGTTACAAGAAATCCACCAGGAAATTCAGGAATTGGGTTGTTATGATGATATTCCAGAAGATGATGACATGATTGTCATTAAATAAATGAGTAAATTCTTGATACTGTAGGATTCACAGTTTGTCTGGTTTGTGTTGACAACTACTGTACTACCATATCGTATACAGGTAATAAATTTCCTTTATTTTCATTTAACAATAAATGTGTACCGTATTTTCTTCATGGAAAAATAAGACATCCCCTGAAAATAAGACCTAGCGCATCTTTGGGAGCAAAAATTAATATAAGACACTGTCTTATTTTCGGGGAAACAGGGTACCCTTCTATTATTTTCCCTCTGCTTTGACCCATAAGAAGAATGGAAATATACCCACCCTCAGGCTAAGTTCCACATTCTCTCCTCCATAGACCAGCATTCCACCATCTACAGACCCGATCTTTCCCAGGAAGAGCCTGTTGGCTGCCAGGATGCCCATGATGGAAGGACTCCTGTGGAACACAAAGCAAAAGAGTTACTAACTTCCCCATAGTGAATGGGTTAGGAGGGAGATGAGCAGTAGGAAACACAGTCATGGTTTGGCCTTTGAAATTCTACCCAGACCTCTTATCCGTAGAGTTTCCTTAAGCCCTCTAACTGAACTAAGTGTAACTTTCTCTCACCCTCTGTGATGTCATAACCCTTCTCAAGGTATATTAAAAGTACATCTTTTTCATCTGGATATCCCTACTTCATAGCTTAATAAATGCTTAAAATGGCCCAAATGTTTTCTAAAACATTTGCTTTATTTTGCTTGAAAGCCCTCGGATAGCCCAAAGTGTCTGTTTTTTATTTTTATTCTCTTTCCTTCTTATCTGGAATCAGCGTTTTTTTATTTTTTATTCCCTTTCCTTTATTCCTTTCACTCTTCTTCCATTACTACCACTACACACTATTCATTCTTGACTTCCATGTGCTAACCATGTTTCTGAGACCTTTCAGACTTACTTAATTGGAGCAGTGACATCATGCAGATTAATCCAGGCCTTTGGCAGTGAATCATAACGGCACCATAGTTCCCAGTTAAACCCATCAACTGCCAAAGAATATTCTTCTAATTCAAATGTGTCAAAGAGAATGTTGTCAAACACAGGAGACACAATCACAGTGTGGTCTTCCTGAATCCGGGCCAAGATGGGCTCTGCCCTAGAAGGGTGTGTAACAAACCCAGGTTAGGTGTGTGGGTAAGCAGCAGGAGCAAGCAGATAAAGGTGTCCCAAGCACTTTGCCCTGACATTTAGCACTTTCTTCATTTAGACTGAGCTGGATGGTGAAAGAAACGCTCCAGAGTCCAAAAAAGTTCTGCAGCTTTTGGGATAGCTGGGATGCTAGCAGCTGACCCATGTCAAAAGCATATTTGAAATTAGTATCCAAATACCACCCCTGAGCTACTTTGAACCAGGACCATCAGTATTCCACCTGAATGTATATTACCTTTGGGCTATGCTGTTTCCAAAATAATAACTCTTTACTATCTGATTCTCCACCTTCTCCAAAGAACAGAGCTCTCTTTATGTCATGTAATTTCGGAGCTGGAAAAAACCTTAGGAATTACCAAAAGGTAATCTCTTCCATTTTATGGATAAGCACATGAATATCAAGTTAGATGACATGATATATACAAAGTCCCAAAGCACTGTAAAGTCAGGATTGGGTGCAATGTCAATATGCCAAGCCCATTGTTTTTGCTCCAGCACTATCTTTAGCCAACCAAAATCCTCGAGTAAAAGCATCCTGTCTTTGTAGCTTCCCTGTGTTTAAAGTCTGATGTAGGCTTTCCTTATTTCCACACTATCCTGTCTTATATTTAGAATTACAATATGTCCTTTTCCCTTTTTTTTCAGAAGAAGAAACCATCTGGAGCCTTACCACCCAGCGTTCACTTCAATATGAGCATCCAGGATGGCTACCACTTCAGCTGTGGCCACTTCCCTGCCAGTGTTGCGGGCTTGAGCAAGACCTTGTCTCTTGGTATGCCGTACTATTTTCAGTAGTCCTGGATACTTCTGGTTGTAAAGCTTAATATGCTTATCCAAGTTTGCCTTTAGTTCTCCTGCCAACAAATACACACCTATTGAAATTCTGAATGTAATGATGAATTTGATACTGAAATTTATTTATTTTTAAATATATTTTATTGATTTTTTACAGAGAGGAAGAGAGAGGGATAGAGAGTTAGAAACATCGATGAGAGAAACATCGACCAGCTGCCTCTTGCACACACCCCACCGGGGATGTGCCTGCAACCAAGGTACATGCCCTTGACTGGAATCGAACCTGGGACCTTTCAGTCTGCAGACCGACGCTCTACCACTGGGCCAAACAAGCTTCGGCTGGTACTGAAATTTAATACTTTTCTATAGCTAGTAGTGATTGAACTATCTCCAGGTTAGGATGTGTGATTCTACAATGTTGACTGTGGGATAGGGAAGACAAGATGGCAGCCGAACAGATGGACTTGTTCTGACCCTGGTCCTGGAACAGATAGAAGCAGTGTCTGAGTCGCTCAGGGAATATTGATTGGCAGCTAAGGGGCAGGAGAACTCTAAAGGAAGGTAAGGAAGGGTCCACTGGACAGGATTTCCTGACCAAGCAGCCAGCACTGCGGCGGCGAACTCTCCCGGAGCTACGGGCGCAGAGGGAAGGCTGTGCCATCTCACCAGGAAAGGAGGATCTTCTCTGAGGCCTGGAAAACCCACAGCAGAGACCATCAAGCAGCTGTGACGCCCCAATCGGCGCAAATACATGGATTCAAGGGAGTACTTCAATCACCCATGGAAAGGTCGGAGTTTGCAGGGAAAACGTGAGGGTTCTGGGTCCCCGCGGTGCAGGCAGTGACTGTAGCCGCAGCGCTCCTGAGCAGCCCCCCGGAGCGCAGCCCCACAGCGATTATAGCCGCAGAGCGCCCGAGCAGCCCCCGCACCGAGCTGCGCCGAAAGAAGGCTGCAGCTGCAGAGAGAATCCTCCCCTGCTAGACCCAGTGCTGGGTTTGGCATAATCTTCCCAAAAATCGGGAGTTTTTTAAAACGCCAAGGAACACGGGACAAATTGTTAAGAATCAGGACTGTCCCGACAAGGGCGGAACATCTGGACACCTTGGTGCAGACCCACCCTGCACCTAATCCCCTTCACCCCCTTGCTTCTGAGTACTAGGGAAGGACTGTCAAGTTGGACATATCCTGAAGGCTGCAGGGAGAAATTGCCTTCCTGGAAACGGGGGATCAGAGCCAGAAGAGATAGTCTGGTAGCCTACCAAAACAAAACATAGAGCCTTAGAGAAAGAAGGCTAAAGCAGCCAAAAAGACTGGGAGTTCAAACCAGAAACAATAGGGGCTGAATTACAAACTGTCTTTTTTTTTTTTTCTTTACTTTTAATTAATCAAAAATAAATGGACACAAATAACTAAGATATAGCCTACTTAAAATTAAGGACTACCTTACAAAACTAAGGTGCAGTGGAAAGCTGGGAACTGCAAGACTGTCTGGTCCGAGAATCAGGCATGCCAAAAACAATAACAAAGGAAGTGAATGACCACTACTGGACATTTTTATGCTAATTTTACTATTCTTTATTTTATTTTCATTTTTTACATCTTTTATTTGTTTTCATTTTTTACATCTTTTACTTAAGAAACAAATTTTTTTCTTTTTTCCTTACTGGATTTTACCTTTTCAATTATTACATTTTTCAATCTCAATCATCAATATTACTACTGCTATTTTGAATTTTTTGTTTCCTTTTTCTTCTTCTTTTTTTTTCTCCAGTACAATTTTATTTTTTCTTTATTTTACGTTGGGATTAGTCTTCATTCTATTTTAATCTCTACTATAGCATCGTTCAACCCTATCTCAACTCGACCTTTACACCATCACTCTCTTACTAACCTTTACCCTTTTCATCACCTGTTTATCTTATCCCTTTCCGGCTTTAGTTTTTCCCCTATTCTTTCTGTATACCCCTTGCTAAAACTCTCATCATACTTATAGACCTAATTTCCAAACCCTGCTCCAAGTGTATAAATACCACTCTCTTCACTATATTAACTAGTTAAAAAAAAAAAAAAAAAAAACTGTTCTCTCTATCCTTTTGTCATTGTTTACGTGAATGGTGATTATAGTGAATTTTTATGCTTTTTAGTGAAATTGTTATGCTTATTCTTGTGTTGTTATTGTTGCTTTGTATTTTTTAAAAACCTATGTTTTTGTTTGTTTTTTACTTCTGTATATCATAGCCTTACTTAATAATAGTGGATATTGTAGTTTGTATTAATCTCCAAGTATTGTTGCTGGCATTTGCAGGGATTAGTGGTTGTTGTATGGGAATTTTCTCCATATATATATATATATATATATATATATATATATATATATAGTTTGTCTCCCCTTTCTCTCTTAGTCTGCTTCTTGTCTCACTCTCTCTCTCTATCTCTTTATTTATCCCTCTTTTTTTTTTTTTTTTTTACCTTTCTTCCTTCTCTCCTATCCTCTAATTTGCCTTTCTCTAGTGGTCACCTTTATTAGAGGTTATTAATATCGCAAATACATTCCTGTTAAGTGCCTTTTGTGTTGTACCGGGTAGTGTTGTATTTTGTGCCTTTAAATCATTGCAGGAGAAGGAATACCACATAACCAGACATCCTGAAAAGAGAGACCATGGGGAGACAAAGAAATAGTCTGCACATGAAAAAAAAAAAATGAAAAATGATATCTCTACTATGAAGAACTCAATAGAAAGCATCAAGAGTAAACTAGAAGAAGCAGAGGACTGCATCAGTGAGTTAGAAGACATGGTGGGAAAAAAAATACCCAATTAGAGCAGCTTCTGAAAAAAAAAAATTAAAAAGCAGGAGGAGAGCCTAAGGGAACTTTGGGACAATACAAAACTAAACAATATTAGAATAATAGGGGTTTCAGAAGGAAAGGAAACTGAGGAAGACATGGAAAACGTATTTCAAGACATAATGACAGAAAACTTTCCTGAGATAGAGAAGAAAAAACCCACACAAATCAAAGATGCTCGTAGAGTCCCAAGCAAAACGAATCCCAAAAGACCAACACCAAGGAACATTATAGTTAAATTGGCAAACACCAACACCAAAGTAAGAATCTTAAAAGCAGCCAGAGAGAGACAGAAGTTACATATAAAGGAACCCCCATCAGACTAGCAACTGACTTCTCAATAGAAACTCATCAGGCCAGAAGGGAATGGGAAGAAATATACAAAGTCATGCAAAGGAAGGGTCTGAATCCAAGAATACTGTACCCAGCAAGGCTATCAATCAAAATTGAAGGTGTAATCAGGAGCTTCACAGACAAAAAAAAGACTGAAGGAATTTATCTCCACCAAACCAGCAATGCAAGAAATGCTAAAGGGTCTACTGTAAAAATAAGGAAATAGGAAGTGAAGAAGGAACACAGGGGTATAGAATAAAAATGGCATCAAATGAGTACCTATCAATAATATCTTTAAATGTAAATGGATTAAATGCTCCAATCAAAAGACATAGGGTAACAGATTGGATAAGACCCATATATCTGTTGTCTACAAGAAACCCACTTCAGAAAAAAAGACGCACACAGACTGAGGGTGAAGGGATGGAAAAAGGTTTTCCAGGCAAATGGAAATGAAAAAAAAGCTGGGGTAGCAATAGTTATATCTGACAAATTAGATCTCAGAGTGAAGGACATAACAAGAGATAATGAAGGCCACTTCATAATACTAAAGAGAGCAATCCAACAAGAAGAAATAACCCTGGTAAATATATATGCACCCAATACGGGAGCACCCCAATATATAAAAAAAACTGGTGGAGGACATTAAGGGAGAGATTAATAGCAATACAATCATAGTAGGAGATTTTAATACCCCACTGTCACCCTTGGACAAATCATCTAAACAAAAAATCAGCAAAGAAATATCAATCCTAAATGACTCACTAGACCAGATGGAATTAATCGACATCTTCAGAACATTCCACCCCAAAGCCACAGAATATACATTCTTCTCAAGTGCACATGGGACATTCTCAAAGATAGACCACATTTTGGGACATAGGCAAAGTCTCTTCAAGTTCAAGAAGATGGAAATCATATCAAGCATCTTCTCAGATCATAGTGGCATAAAACTGGAAATTAACTACAATAAAAATAATCCAAAGAAATCAAACATATGGAGACTAAATAGCATGTTAATAAACAAGGAATAGGTTACCTTAGAAATTAAGGAAAAAATTAAAAACACCCTGGAAACAAATGACAATGAAAACACAACAATCCAAAATCTATGGGACACAGCAAAAGCAGTTTTGAGAGGGAAGGTCATATTCCTACAAGCCTATTGCAAAAAAAAAAAAAAGGTAACAAATGATCTAACTCTACAACTCAAAGAGTTAGAAAAACAGCAACAAGAAAAGCCCAGTGTAAGCAGAAGGAAGGAAATAACAAAAATCAGAGCACAGATAAACGACATAGAGACCAAAGAAACAATACATAAGATCAACAAAACCAAGAGCTGGTTCTTTGAAAGGATAAACAAGATAGATGAACCTCTAGCCAGGGTAACCAAGAAACAAAGAGAGAGGACTCAAATAAACAAAATCAGAAACAAAAGAGGTGAAATAACAAAAGACCCCACCGAAATACAAAGGATTGTTACAAAATACTACGAACAACTATATTCCAACAAACTGAACAACCTGGAGGAAATGGACATATTCCTAGAAAAATACAAACTTCCAAAACTCAATCAGGAAGAATCTAAAAATCTCAATAGAGCAGTGACTTGGGAAGAAATTGAAACAGTCATCAAAAAGCTTACAGCAAACAAAAGCCCAGGGCCAGATAGCTTCACGGAAGAGTTGTACCAAACATTCAAGGAAGAACTAAAACCTATCCTCCTCAGAATATTCCAAAAAATCCAAGAGGAAGGAACACTTCCAAACTTTTTCTATGAAGCCAGCATCACCCTAATATCAAAACCAGATAAAGACAACTCAATGAAAGAGAATTATAGGCCAATATCCCTCATGAACATAGATGCCAAAATCTTCAATA